GTCTGGTGGAGGGAATCACAAAATGCAATGAGGATGTCAGTATCTGTCATTTCTCGAAGTGTTCAATGCTGAATTAGCAAAGCCAATTGAGTTTGGTGGAATAGCCAGTGGAAAGGTAAGTATTTGTTTTTTAAATTAGTGATAAGTACCTTTAAAGCACCATTTACACTTAGCAAAATGCTATTTTCAGCCTTCAAAGTCAAGTCTTGTGTGCTGGGAGTGCTGAGTAACAGCCATATCTCTCAACATGGGGTTCTTTCAAAGACTTGTATTGCATTGAAGGGGATGAGGTGGGTTTGACTAGGTCTTTGTGAAAAAGCTTTTTGGTACCTATCAAGGTTTATGCATATGGACTAAAATAGGCTATGTTTTCACTCACAGTTTGGGGAGTGAGGGGTGGCGATAAAAAGCGCATGGCTTAACCATGCTTTTACAGCCCCCAACTGCTCCTCCTTAACTGCTTCAGCCCCAGAAGGTTTTCCCTCCTTCTTGACCCAGCCTTTTTTTTGTTATTCGGCACTGCTCTATTTCAACTGGTAATTGCGTGGTCATGCAATGCTGTACCCAAACAAAATTTGTGTCCTTTTTTCACACAAATAGAACTTTCTTTTGGTGGTATTTGATCACCACTGATTTTGTTATTATTTTGTGATATAAAAGAAAAACAAAGTCCAAAAATTAAAAAAAAACCAATATTTTCTACTTTTGCTTTTAAAAAAACATCCAATAAACTCAAATTTACTCATAAATGTAGGCTAAAATGTATTCTGCTACATGTCTTTGGTAAAAAAAAATCCCAATACGTGTATATTAATTGGTTTGTGTGAAAGTTATAGCGTCTATAAACTATGTATGGTATATACTGTGTGTGTGTGTGTATATATATATATATATATATATATATATATATACATATATTGGAATTTACGCAGCTTTTACTTTCTGACTGCCTATCACATTTTTTGAGGTGCTAAAATGCAAGAGCAGTAAAATAAAACCCAAAATAACCCCTTTTTGGAAAGTAGACACCCCATGTAATTTGTTGAGAGACATGTTGAGTCCATGGAGCATTTTATTTTTTTTGCCACAAATGTTTGGAAAATTACAAATTTATTATTTTTTTTACACAAAGTTATTACTTAAATGATATATTGCTCACACATGCCATGGGTATATGTGGAATAACACTCCAAAACACATTCTGCTACTTCTCTTGAGTATGGGGATACCAAATCTTAGAAACGTTTTGGCAGCCTAGCCACATAGAGGCCCCCAAATAACCACCTTCAGGCTTCCAAAGGGCATATTTCCTCATGTCACTTCCTCACTACCTATCACACCCCAAGGAATTTGATAAGAGGCGTTGTGGGTATTTCTCAGATGTCATTTTTTGTCACAGGGTTTTCTTTATTCATTTTCCAAAAACTTGTGGCAACAAATGAGATCTGCAAAATACTCACCATGCCCCAAATACCTTGAAGTGTCTACTTTCCAAAAAGGGGTAATTTGGGGGGTTCTTTTTACTATCCTGGCATTTCAGGGCCAACATTAGAAGCTTATGCCACACACCACCCACTCTTCTCACCACCTGAAGACCAAGCCTTTTCTGACACTTGTTTATATGAAAAAAAGTTTTTTTGCAAGAAAAGTACTTTGAAACCCCAAACATTAAATATTTTTTTAAATCAGAGGCCCTAGAGAATAAAATGGTGGCTGTTGCAATTTTTTATGTCACACAGTATTTGCGCAGCGATTTTTCAAACACAATTTTTCAAACGCACATGCGCTCTCACACCTGGAAATAGAAAGCAACATAAAGGTACGTTACTTTGCCCAGAACTGTCACTCGCCTGCACATTGCGAGTGGTCGGTTGGCATGTAGATAAAAAAAACAACTTTACTTTTTTTTTAATTCCCAATATTTAAATTTTTTAACATTATTTTTAATTTTTTTTACTATCTTTTAAAAAAAATACTTTCATCAGAATAGTTCAATAAAGATTATTGATCCTGCACTGCAATGCTTGTTTTGAACTGTCATGAATGGGTTAAGTTCATGGTCAAACTACTAGTGATCTGTGATTGGCTACAACTAATCCCATGGTACAGGGTGCTGTGATTGGTCCATGTACCATGTGAGAGCTGTGGGCCAATCACAGCTTACCAGGAAGAGAAGCAAAGCTGTTATGATTCAGATTGATCATAACAGGTTTGCTAACATTGTGATGGTCACCAGGTTCCGATTACTGGGATCCGCATTCTGCTGTGTCCAGTGTGTGTGCGGCGCCCTCCCCCAGTGTTAGTACAGCCAGATGGATTTACCAGTATGTCACTCTCTGCCTGTAGTTGCCCCCCTACTTGTACTTTGGGCGGTTGGCAAGTGGTTAAGCTGCACAAATGGGGCTGTACACAGTCAGTGGCTGATGCTTCACATTGCGGCATGGCAGTACCAAACGTTCAACTGAATGGGGCCATACCGCAACCACTCCACAACTGTGTGCAATGCATGGGGCTGCAGCATGGTGGTGGGGGCTTTCTAGTTATCAAAACAGATGAGGAGGTGACATAATGGCTCAACGCCTGTGTGGGAACTCGCTTAAGATGGTAGAGCTTTTTTCAAAGCACACAGCAACTCGCTTCTTCTTAAGGGCCTTTTTGCCCAATTTTATTTGAAAGAAAAAGTTCCATAAATCCTCCCACGCATGGGGTATCCACATCAAACAAATGCAAATGATATTCAGCCTTCTGGCTGGTACACCGATTTCCGTCTGTCTCCTGCAGACTCTATCCAAAAATGGCTTTCCCGCACACAGCTAGCCAATAGCACACAGCTTGTCTGGCTTCCACCTCTACTAGGTGAAGCCCACCTGACTCCAAGGCAGAGACCTCCTGTCTGCTGGGGTGGAGCCCTCCTGACTCCTGTCTGCCGGGGTGGAGCCCTCCTGACTCCTGTCTGCCGGGGTGGGCCCAGAATTATGGCCTGGCCTCCATAAAAAGGCCTGCACACACCTGTGCAATCATCGTGCTGGCTGCTCTCAAAATATGGGCCCAGGATTGGAGATTTCATCCCTCCCAAATCTCTTAGAAATCTCCAGGCTACAGGTCCCAAAACAGGCTTTACAAACCAGAGAGGAAACTGATAAGCCAGTTTCCTCTGTATTATGAGAACTGCCTGGAGCCCCTCAACCTGTATGGTTGAGAATCCTGGGTCTCCATCGTGATTTCCACCGTGGCAGGATACCGCACTGCCACACCTGTTAAACACCCGTTTGCTCTTCAGGAGGTAAAGCTTGGCATAATTATTCTGGTGCTTTCCTGTGTTTGGGGAGCTGCTCATGCCATCTACAGCCTACCATTCAAGTTAATGGCTGCATGCAGTCATACTCTTCTGTCAAGTCTCTCCCATCCTATGGAATTCCCTACCCCAATCTGTCCGACTGTCTCCTACTTTACTTTACTCTCTCTATTGTCTATATTTAGGCGATCCCTGAAAACCCACCTCTTCAGACCAGGCTTTTTCTGCCCCCACCTAATGTCTGTACTTTATTTTCTCCATCAGATTATCCCCCACAGTTATTACCTTTGTATCAATTGATCCTCCCTTTTAGATTGTAATTGCTAACGAGCAGGGCCCTCTGTTTCACAATGTATTGTATTGTAATTTTACTGTTTGCCCTCACATTGTAAAGCGCTGTGCAAACTGTTGGCGCTATATAAATTCTGTATAGTAATAAAATAATAATTTCATGATAATACTCCTGTCAACGCTGATGCTTTTTTGCATAACCATTTACCTGTGCAAGCATGCCCAATTTATTTCCTTAATGTAAAACTTTCACATTTGGAAAAACTATCTAACATGCATGTGTGGGTGAATGCCAAATCAAATAAGCATTGACATTTACAAGACTAAGGCCATGTACAGCCATTCATTTGAATGGAATTCTGTACGTGGCACATGCAGCTCCTCAGGCATGAGAAAGTAGTGGTAGATTTACACTAGGCACATAAAATGCTATTTTAGTCTGTGTCTATGAACCCTTATAATGCACAGTTCTATTCTGACTACCCGCTGAACTGCTGTAACTACAAAGTAGAAGTAGATGATGAAAATTATGAAAAACAATATCGGTCTGGCTACATATCTATTTTTGTAACTTTACTTGGGCATTAAAACAGACCCATCCATCTCAACTTGGAGTAATGAACAAAATCAATGCGTATGGAGAAAATATCTAGGGACTGATTATGGTCTACTTCCCAATATGAAGAACAGTTGCCAACTTTGTATAATTTCCATCCTGCTGAGTTCAAATTTGCAGCATGTCAAGAGGGAACAGGACCAAGGAAGCTCGGACAAAGCAGATGAGTTTTCTTGACTAAAATATATATAAATATTCCATTGTTGTTCTCTCTTTTAAATATATACATTCACTGGCTGTCATGCTGATTCATTGGCTTCAATAATTTCAATGTCCCTGATTTTGAACAAGTATGCATATTAAACATTCTGATATTCCTGATCTGCAAATTTGCTCAGAACTGTACTGAAGCCATGGAGAGCTAGATAATCAGTATTTTCCGAAGCAGGTCAAGCAATTGTAGCCTTGAAATTTTACCTTATAGAAGCAAAGCTCATCCTTCTAGCATTGCTGTCCTAAAAAATATACATATTGTAAAGGTCATAAAGTTCTATGCAGAACTGCAGATAACTAATTTTATTGTGCAAAATGCAGGCAATTTATTTTATTACTTTAGTATAAGTTCATACATAATCATTCATCTATACATTCTTCTGGAACTGGTTTGAGTTCAGAGAACTGGAGTTCTCTGAACAAAATGTAAACCTGGGTTCCTTAAAACTTGTAATAGTGTTTAATGAGTGATACATTTTATGAAGCCTGTTTAATGAACAAGCAGACTTGCTCTTATAAATCTGTGTGTAGCTAAACAGTCACTGATCTGACACCTCTGTCATTAATAGCAAGACTAATAGCAAGATGCTGAAGTCAGAGCCACTATCACAAGATCCAGATACCAATGAAACAGATGGAAAAGTTTGTTTAAAAAGACGTTTGGGCTTTTTAGACAGTGTGAGCTTTCTGGTGGGAAGCATTATAGGTGCTGGAATTTTTGTATCTCCTAAAGCTGTTTTGGAATATTCTCAGCTCAACATTGGTGTGGCACTATGCATTTGGGCAGCATGTGGTGTGGTGAGTATATTTTGCACCCTTTGTTACGCAGAGCTGGGTTCATCTTTGCCATTCGCTGGTGGAGAATATTACCACGTCAGGCGAGGACTGGGACCTATACCAGCTTTTGTAACCATCTGGACATTAACATTGTTTGTAAGGCCATCATCCAATGCTGCCAGAGCCCTGACCTTTGCCGAGTATGTCAGTCGGCCATTTTATGGAGGATGTCCCCCACCTGAGCTTCTCAAGAAATCTTTAGCTATTGGAATTCTCCTGGCTTTGGGAGTCATAAATTCTAAGAGTATCAAGTTGGCCACATGGGTTCAAAATATATTCACAGTTCTCAAATTGATGGCCTTGGCACTTATTATTGTCTATGGCATCATTGAGTTTGCAACTAATCCAGAAGCTTCAAAGCCCTTTCACGATGCTTTTAATGGACAAGTCCCAAATGCAGCACAAACGGCAGAGGCCTTTTTTCAAGGCCTGTATGCCTATGGAGGATGGAACTACCTAAACTACATGGCAGGTATGTACTATATCTGTAATTTATTTTATTATTTGTAATTAGTTTTATAGGAATGGTAGAGGTGAGTTGGGACCAGCTGGATCCAGCAAGTAATTTTTGTGGTTGTTGGATCATTAGACATGACTTTCATTGTTTTCAGGTCTGCTGGGAAAGTTTTTAAGCGATCTTGGTGCTCTCTGCCAAGCACAGGGTGTGAATGTACAGTACACAGCTAGGGGTTAGGAGAAAGATAATTATAAGATTGAGTTACTGTTAGGGAAAGGGTAGGTATTACAAGGGTTTCATTTTTGTGTGTCTTTAGAGTCTAAAATTGTTCTTTATGTCCCAGTGCTGGAATCTTTGTGTCAAAATTATCCAAGCCAATGCTTGTTCACTTGTACCAAACTCCAGGATCATACAAAAATAGATATGGTCATTCTTTAAATGATATCTAAGTTTTATACTTCTCATATACTAGCTGGTCATCTTTAAATGTAATCCAACATAAAGGCAGCATAACAGAAAATGTCTGTAATGCCTTCAAATATGGCCCAGCTGCTACTTTTATATATGTAGGAACATGTTTTCCCCAGACTATAGCTGTGCATTACCAATAAGATATGGTATGCTCTTAAGGGAAGTAAATTAACTATTGAACTAAGCCCTAATTGTAAATCATCATCTTTGGCAAATAACAAATTGATGCCAGTCAAGGGCGCGTGTCCCTCCGCACCATCTGGCCAATTGATGAATCTAAATAATAACATTTATTCAGATTGAATCTAAATTATAACATTTATTCAGATATATATAAAATGTATGCTAAACTGTAATTAATGCCTATTGGAGTGGAGTGTACTGCACACAACAGCATTACTGAATACCATTACAATTATTTACATTACATCAAAATGGTTAATAACACCAGACCAGATCAAATACCTTACCATTTTAGATGAAGTTACGGCATAAAGAAGACACTCTAGTTTGATCATAAGCCTTTCAGATGGCATATATAGTCTTCTATTAAGAAGACCCATGGACAGAACTAATTGGATAGTATAATCTGTCTTGGTACAGATATGTAATACGGGTACACTCATCCACAGGCCTTAATATCAGCCGCTAATGGACAAGCCCCATATATCACCATATCCAGTCAAAAATACCTCACTATCTTGAGGAATGAAATGATGCACTATAAAGAGCAGTACAGACCACTCCAAAAAAGGAGTGGGGGGGGGGAGAGTAAATAACATGTGCATTCAAAAAGTGCTCCCAAAAAAAGAATTAAAGAAAAGAAAATGCTGCATATTTCTCTCCAAAAAAACAGAGCTTCGTCAGGAATATAAAGAATTAAAATAGGTCACAGAGTGTCTGGACGTTGTGCTCAGTTTCACAGGGTGGCAAGATGGCCATTTTAGTTCTGTCCGTGGGGGTAACTTTATCTCCTTAATAGAGATTATATATTCCATCAATTATAATCAAACTACAGTGTCTTGTTTATGCTGTAACTTCATATAAAACAGTATGGTATTTGATCTGGTCTGGTGTTATTAACCATTTGGATGTAAGGTAAATAAATGTAATGGTATCCAGTCATACTGTTGTGCACAGTACATTTCACTCCAATAGGTATTAATTACAGCTTAGCATACATTTTATATATACTGTATATCTGAATAAAGGTTATATTTTAGATTCATTAATTGGCCAGATGGTGCATAGGGACACACACCTTTGTCCGGCATTGATTTTTTAAGGGAAGTAGACCTAATCCCTAAATGACATCTGGTTTGCTAAAGCACTGTGCCTCAACAAATCAAAACAGATGCCACTTTTTTACACATAAAACACTTTGTTTCCCACACTTTCATTTAGCCTTTTGTTGCATTTTGGTGCTGCTGATATCTTCTAGCTTTTTAAAAGCTATTTCCTGTCTTTATTCACATGCTTAAGTGCTCGTTGTACATTGTAACTCTAGACCAGTTTACTAGTGAAAACAGTGGACCATGCCCATGTAATGTGTGTCAGCATGGCTACTGGTAATCTCAATGGAAGGTGCATGTGACAATGCGACGACACAGGAGCTAAATTACGAGACAAGTCATCCCATAACAGAGAATGCCTAAACAAGGCACAACTAACAGACTTTTAATAAAACTTCACATTTTAAAAGACTGAAAACAAGTTTTGAAATTACACAGCTGGGCCAGCAGATTGAATGAAAAATAAAATCAAATGGATTCCTCCATTCACATAAACAAGGTGGATGGAGAATCCCATACCTCAGGGCACTGTATTCTGTCAGCACCCGCCACTGTCAGAATTTACTGATCAGCAGCTGCAGCTGATTGGCTGCAGCCACTGATTGAGGAACATTGTCCAACATGTACCTTCAACATAAATCAATCAAACGATCAAATTATGTTAAACAGGATAGCCACACACTGAACAAGTTTCAGCCCCCCCTGCTGAGCCAGTAGAATTTTGATCAATGTATGGCCAGTTTAACAACTGGCTTAAAAGGGATTTTAGTGACTAGGGTTTGACCTATTTTAACCACTTCAGCTTCTGCACCTTTCTCCCCATATGGACCAATATAAATCAGCTGTAGGTCTTTTAATTACTTGTAATATTTTGTTTTCTGTGCAAGCTAAAAAGATAAATGTAGCAAGACAAAAAAGTTTGATCAACATTCTCTTTAAATCAACTTACTGTTAATAAAAAGTGTAGATTTTATTCTGTGATTTGTCGCTTTTATTATGACAGAATTACTTATTTATTTATTTATCGAGTTTATATAGCGCCAAAGGGTTTGCTCAGCGCTGTACAATAGAGGGGGGACAATACATGAAACAGTACAGTAACATCAAACAGCACACAAGGGGTAAGAGGGCCCTACTCTTTCGAGCTTACAATCTAGGAGGGAGGGGGTAGAGGTACAGGAGGAAACGGCTGTGGGGGATGGAGTGGTAGGAGGAGGGAAGGGCAGCGGCTGTTAGGTGAGGGTGGGGTAGGCTTCCCTGAAGAGGTGGGTTTTCAGGGAGCGCCTGAAGGTGAGGAGGGAAGGTGACAGTCTGATGGATTGGGGTAGTGAGTTCCAGAGGATGGGGGAGGACCTGGAGAAGTCTTGCAGTCGTGCGTGGGAGGAGGAGACCAGGGAGCAAGATAGAAGGAGGTCCTGTGAAGAGCGAAGGGTACGGGTAGGGTGGTACTTGGGAATCAGGTCGGTGAGGTAGTTAGGGGCAGTGTTGTGAATGGCTTTATAGGTCAGAGTGAGCAGTTTGAATTTAATGCGTTGGGCAATGGGGAGCCAGTGGAGGGAGAGGCAGAGGGGGGTGGCAGAGGTGGAGCGGCTGGTGAGGTGGATGAGTCTGGCAGCTGAGTTCAGGATGGTCTGAAGCGGGGAGAGTTTGCACTGGGGTAGGCCGATGAGGAGGGAGTTGCAGTAGTCAAGGCGTGAGATAATCAGGGAGTGAACGAGTAGTTTAGTGGTGTCTGGGGTAAGGAAGGAGCGTATTTTGGCGATGTTGCGAAGGTGGAGCCTGCATGTATTTGTGAGTGATTTGACATGAGGTTGGAAGGAAAGGTTTGAGTCCAGAATGACGCCAAGGACCTTGGCTTGCTGGGCGGGATTGATGATGGTGTTGTTGGTAGTGATGGAAAGGATGGGGGGGGGGGGGGGGGGCACGGGAAGGGGGAAAGACGAGAAGCTCGGTTTTGGAGAGGTTGAGTTTGAGGAAATGGAGCGAAATCCAGTCAGAGATGTCGTTTAGGAGGTGAGTGATGCGGGGGCGGAGAATGTGGGGGTGAGGTGAGGGGTGGATAGGTAGATTTGAGTATCATCAGCATAGAGGTGGTAGTTGAAGCCGTGGGAGTGTATGAGTTTGCCAAGGGAGGAGGTGTAGATGGAGAAGAGAAGGGGTCCAAGGACAGAGCCCTGGGGGACCCCAACAGAGAGGGGGAGGGAAGAGGAGGTGGCGCCGTTGTAGGAAACGCTGAAGGAGCGTTGGGATAGATAGGACGAGAACCAAGAGAGAGCGGTGTCTCTGATGCCAAGGGAGAGTAGTTTATTAAGGAGGAGGGGGTGGTCGACTGTGTCAAAAGCCGCAGAGAGGTCTAGGAGGAGGAGGACAGAGTAGTCGCCTTTGGCTTTGGCGGTTAGTAGATCGTTACTTTTCTATTAAAACAAAATTGTAGGGTTCATTCACTCAAACCCACTTTCTGTGCTCCCAAGTAGTGATAAGTGAATGTGTCTAAGTTTGTTTTGTGGGCCATTTGTAGAAAACATCTTAAGCTCCAGTAATTGTGAACTTGCAAAATAATGAAGCACTTCAAAGTCAATGATGGAGGGGGGGGGGGGGGGTTGAATTCTGAAAATCAACTTTGATCATTCAAGTGATTGTCAGTCAATCCAATACAAAAATAAATAAAAAAAATACTGTTTACTGGGGAGATGATTCTTGTTTTTATGCAACACTGAGGACACCTCATTTCTTTAACCATCCACAACAGGAATACATTTAAAGTTGGGAGTAGCAGCTAGTCACAGCAGATATAAAGGCTAAAACAAATTGTACTCTTCAAAAACATAACTTGTACAAAGTCCTTGAGGGAAAAGGCCAATGCATGACTCTCCCAACACCATGAACTGTAAGCTAGTGGCATAGGTTTCAGATCCTGCCAATTACCACCTTGGTGATGGTGACAGAAAGGACGCCGTTTCCCTCCTTCAGTGACCTCAGATCCACTGGTCTCCCAAATCACTCCAGAACCTATGCATCATCCTAAACAAATGCTGCCATAATGTTTTGCTTTGGCATGCCTAGGGGACAAGAGGCACATTAGACTATAGAATCTGAAGGCTATTCTTGCAAAGTCAGGTGACAGGGGATTGACAATATGCCAGCTTGTGCCAGGTCATGGTGATTAGAATTGTGAGAACACACACTGTGTTGAGTAGTAGATTGGGAACTGGAGGCGCAGCAGCAGAAGGAAGAGGAAAACTTTCTATTGTC